ATGCTAGAATTAAGTGAATATAGCTATAGGCTTATCTTTACCAGTGTGTTGAATACTTTCATATTACTAACTAGCAATTTTTCATTTTAGCTTGAAGAATTCCTTTCAGCATTTATCATAAAGCAAGTCTAGTAGTGATGAGCACCCTCAACTTATGTTTCTTAGGGAAAGTCTTTCTCTCACCTTCATTTTTAAACTTTTAAAAAAAAATTATTTTAGAGAGAGGGAGAGTGTGTGAGTGGGGCAGAGGGAGAGAGAGAGAGAGAGAGAGGAAGAGGGGGAGAGAGACAAAGAGAGGGAGAGAGAGAGAGAATCCCAAGCTGAGCATGGATCCTGATGCATGGCTTGATCCCATGACCCTGGGGTCATGACCTGAGCCAAAATCAAGAGTCAGACACTCAACTGACTGAGCCACCCAGGCGCCCCTCACCTTCATTTCTGAATGATAATTTTGGTGGGTAAAATATTCTTGGTTGACTGTTTCTTTCTTTCAGCACTTTGAACATGAATATATCACCCCATTCTCTCCTGGCTTGCAAGGATTCTACTGGCAAATCTGCTTATGGCTTTGTGTGAGAGAGATATTTTTTCTCTTGCTGCTTTTTAAATCCTCTCTTTGTTTTTAATTTTAGACAGTTTTACCATGATGTGTCCTGGAGAAGATAATTTATTTTATTAATTGAAGTATTAACACACAGTGTTTTATTAGTTTCAGGTATACCTCGTAATGATGCAATAGTTGTACATATTACTCAGTGCACGAGAAGTATAGTCACCATGTGTCTCCAAACCACGTTATTATAATGTTATTGACTGTATTCCTTGTGTTGTACTTTTCATCTCTGTGACTTATTTTTTTTTTTTTTTTTTTTTTTTTTTTTTGTAGCTGGAAGTTCATACTTTTTAATCCCCTTTATCTATTTTGTTTATCCCCCCACCGACCACCCCTCTGGCTACCACCAGTTTATTCTCTGTGTTTGAGTCTTTTTATTTTTTATTTTTGTCTCTTTGTTTGTTTGTTTTTCTTAAATTCCACATGCGAATAAAATCATATGGTATTTGCCTTTGTCTGTTTGACTTACTTCACTTAGCATTATATGCTCTAGGGCTATCCATATTACAAATAGCAAGATCTCTTTCTTCCTTACAGCTGTGGGATATTCCATTATACACACACACACACACCACATCTTCTTTATCCATTTATCTATTGGTAGACACTTGGGTTGCTTCCATTTCTTGGCTACTGTAAACAATGCTGCAATAAACATAAGGGGTGCCTCTTAAGGGGTGAATTAGTGTTCTTGTTTTCCCAGTGGTGGAATTACTGGATCATACACTATTTCTAATTTTAAGTTTTTTGAGCAGCCTCCATACTGTTTTCCACGGTTGCTGTACCAATTTGCATTCCCACCAATGGTGCACGAGGCTTCCTTTTTCTCCCCATGTTATTTCTTGTCTTTTTGATTCTAGCCATTCTGACAGGTATGAGGTGATATTTCATTGTGGTGTTGATTTGCATTTCTCTGATGAAAACATACATATGTCTTCTTTAGAAAATATTCAGGTCCTCTGCCCATTTTTAATAGGATTTTTTTTGGGGGGGGTATTGAGTTGTAGTTCTTTATATATTTTGGATTTTAACCCCTTATTGAATATATCATTTGCAGATTTCTTCTCCGGGTCAGTAGGTGGCCTTTTCATTTTGTTGATTTGTTTCCTTCATTGTGCAGAAGTTTTTTATTTTGGTGTGGTCCCAATAGTTTATTTTTGCTTTTGTTTTTGCTCAGGAGACACATATCTTTGAAACCGCCTGAGACTATCAAATTATCACGGAGCTTCGCCAGTTTGAAATTATTGCCTATGTTTTTTTTTTTTGTGGCGAATTTTATGGTTTCCTGTCTCATATTTAGGTTTTTATTTATTTAAATTAAAACAATTTTTTTAATGTTTATTTATTTTTGAGAGAGAGCGAGAGAGAGAGTAGGAGAGAAACAGAGAGAGAGAAGACACAGAATCTGAGAGTGTCTCCAGGCTCTGAGCTCGCACAGAGCCCGATGCATGGGCTTGAACCCACAAACCATGAGATCATGATCTGAAGTCAGATGCTTAACCAACTGAGCCACCCAGGCATCCCTATTTATTTTTTTATTAAAAGTTTATAATTTATTTTTGAGAGACAGAGACAGAAGAAAGTGGTGAGGGGAGAGAGAGGGAGGCCAGAACCAAAGCAGGTTCAGGCTCTGAGCTATCACACAGGAAAGCCTGACGTTGCTGGGGCTCAAACTCCATGAACTATGAGATCATGACCTGAGCCAAAGTCAGATGCTTAACTGACTGAATCCGTCCCTACTTTTATTTTTTTTTTTTTTTTTTTTTTTAAATTTTTTTTTTTTTTTTACTGGTTGGTTATTTTTGAGAGAGAGAGAGAGAGAGGAGCAAGAGCGAGAGCACAAGTGGGGGAAGGGCAGAGAGAGAGGGAGACAGAATCCAAAGAAAACCCAGGCTCCGAAAGTCATAGCACAGCCCCATGGGCTCAACTCACTGAGTATGAGATCATGACCTGAGCCACAGTCAGATGCTTAACCAACTGAGCCACCCAGGTGCCCCCCTTTTATTTTTACTTGTAAAGAGAGAAAGCACAAACTGGGGAGAGGGGCAGAGGGAGAAAGAGAGAGAATCTCAAACAGGCTCCCTGCTCAGCACAGAGCCTGACATGGGGGCTCAATCCCAGGACCCTGGGGTCATGACCTGAGTGGACATCAAGAGCTTGACACTCACCCAACTGAGCCCCCTGCACCCCCACACTTAGGTTTTTAACCTGAGTTTATTTTTGTGTATGGTGTAAGAGTGGTCCAGTTTCATTCTTTTACATGTAGTTGTCCAGTTTTCCTAGCACCATTTGTTGAAGAGATGGTCTTTTACCCACTGTATATCCATGGCTTTCTTTGTCATGAAGTAATGGACCATATAAGTTTGAGTTTATTTCTGGGCGCTCTATTCCATTTCATTGATCTATGTGTCTGTTTTTGTGCCAGTACTGTACTGTTTCTTTCTTTCTTTCTTTTTTTTTTAAGTGCCACAGAGAAGACTGCATATTTCTTCTCTGTGCTTTTTTTTTTTAATTTTTAAGATGTTTATTATTTACTTTTTTTGAGAGAGAGAGAGAGAGAGAGACAGAGCATGAGCAGGAGAGGGGCAGAGAGGGAGGGAGACACAGAATCCAAAACAGGCTCCAGGTTCTGAGCTGTCAGCACAGAGCTGGATGTGGGGCTCGAACTCTTGAACCGTGAGATCATGACCTGAGCCAAAGTCGGACGCTTAACTGACTGAGCCATCCAGGCACCCGAGTACCCTACTGTTTTGATGACTACAGCTTTGTAGTACATCTTGAAATCTGGAATTATGATACCTCTGCCTTTGTTCTTCTTTGCAGAAGATCATTTTGAATTGCATTTTTGTGGTGATGTCTTCCTTCGTGAATTTGAATGTCCAAATCTTTCTCTAGGTTTGGGATATGTTTAGCCATTATTTCTTTTCTTTTTTTTTTTTAAATGTTTATTTCTGAGACAGAGAGAGACAGAGCATAAGTGGGGGAGGGGCAGAGAGAGAGGGAGACACAGAATCAGAAGCAGGCTCCAGGCTCTGAGCCGTCAGCACAGAGCCTGATGCGGGGCTTGAACTCACAAACCATGAGATCATGACCTGAACCGAAGTCGGTCACTTAACCGACCGAGCCACCCAGGCGCCCCTAGCCATTATTTCTTTAAAGAGCTTTCTTTATTTCTTTAAAGAGCCATTATTTCTTTAAAGAGCATTATTTCTTTAAAGAGCTTTTTGTATCCTGGGACTCCAATGATGTGTGTTTGTTTTAATGGTTTCCGATAAGTCTTGTAGACTTTATTCCTCTCTTTTCATCTTTTTTCTTTTTGTTCTCTAGATTTCATTTGATCTATCTTCTAGATCAAAATTCTTTGTTCTACTTGGTTAAGGCTGCTGTTGAAGCTCTCTGTTGAATTCTTCAGTGATAATTCTTCAGCTATAAAATTTCTGATTTTTTCTTATGATCTCTGTTGGACTTCTTTTCTCTTGTATTGTTTTTCTTATATGAAATTGTTTCTCTCAGTTCTCTTACAGCTCTCTGAGCATCTTTAGAACAATTATTTTGAATTCTTTGTCAGGTAATTCCTAGATCGCCATTTCTTTGGGGCTAGTTACTAGAGGTTTACTGTACTTCCCTGCATATTTCCCTGATTCTTCATTATCCTTTTAGCCTAGTATAGTTGTCTGAATATTTGAAGAAACAGCCCCTCTTCTAGACCTATGGCCTAACTTCCCTAAGGGAAAGCATTTGTCTGTGGGTGGGCATATGCTAGAGCATGCTGTGACCCCAGTTCTAGTGGTGCAGGGTGCCAACTGCTGGGATGTGTAGTTGTGCCATAGATGGGGTGGGGCATGATGTGTCTTTGGCTCAGACCGTTGGGGTCCACGGCATTGACACTCGTTTTTGACACTTGTTTTGGAGACCCCAGCAGTTTGGGCCAGGGCAGGCAGTGGTGGTGGCTGGGGCTTGTGGTATGCACACACTTGGCTGTGGGGACCAGCTGCGAGAGCCAGTTAAGCAGTGAGGACCGGTTGCAGCCACATGGAGTAGTGGGGACCAGGGCAGGCCTCAAGGGTGGGAGCCAGCTTTGGGCTCACTGGCAACAGCCTGGGCCGTTGGTGCATTCTCCTCTAGTTGCACTGTCTCCCCCTCTGGGTGTGTGCACGGTAGTGGTGGCCAGTGATAGGCATCAGGCTGGCCACGTGCAAGTGTATAGCTGGAGAAGCTACACTTCAGTGCACATATGACGTTTGGGGTAATCCTCTGGGGTCCATGCTAGCATCTTGTATTGGAACAGCTGCAGAGGCCATGGTTGACTGCTGGTGTGGTTCAGGGGCTCTGGTGGGGGGTGGGGGTGGTGTGCACGGAGAGGTGTTGGAACGGGGAGGGACTCGGATGTCTGGTGTCAGCAAATGTGAGTATCTGTGAGGCAAATGCTGGTGAAATCTACAGGGAGTCTGCCGCGGTCGTTAGTTTTTGCAGTGGCACAATCTGGGTTTTCTGCGGATCATGTCGCCGAGCTGTGAAATGTGACCTGTGACCATGTGTGGCTGCTGTTGGCAGCTTCTGCTTTTCTTCCTTGTTCCTAGCTGATGCTATGCAACTCGGCTCTGCCAGTCTGGGTGGGTTGAAACTGAAGTGAGACCTTCTTGAAGCGCTCTGAAAGGCTAGGGAGGCTGATCATTCACCCCATTTTCCCTTTCCTGGTAAGGAGAACTCTTTCCAGCTGGGAAGAACCCTCTTGGTGCTGAGCAGTGTTGCCTTGGGTGGTCCGGGGTGGGAGGGTGGGAAAGTGCAGGCAAAATGAAGCTGTTTGTTCTCTTCCTGTGTGGTTATTCTCAGGTTTTTTGTTCCACCGTGTTGCTAAAGTTTCTGAAGTAGACTTCACAGCTCTCCTAGAGCAGTTTTTTTGTTCATGGATAGCTGTTGATCTTTGCGGGGGGACCGAGGCTGGGAATCTCAATGGGTCACCCGTTTTGGTGATGTGAAAAATAATTATTCAGTTCCTTTATATCTGATGGAACAAGATATTCCAGATTCCTCTTGTTCTTAACTACTGGTTTTTCTTTTTTGATCTAAAGCCCCGGGGGGGGGGGGAGGTATTACTGATGGGTGGTCTGTGCTTTGCTGTGTCGAAGCTTTTTAGTTTGCTGCAGCTCCAGTTGTTTATTTTTGCTTTTGTTGCCTTTGCTTGTGTGTCAAATAACATTATTGTGTTATATACTTGGCAGTTGTTAAGAGTGTAGACCAGTCACGTGAAGGGATGGATGTGTTAACTAACCCTATGGTAGTATTCATTTTCCAATATATATGTGTATCAAATCATTACCGTATACATCTTAAACTTACATTTTTTATATTTCAATAGTATCTCCACAAAGCTGGAAAAAATGACAGATACTGTATTATCTCATTTCTATGTGGAATCTAAAGAAACTGAACTCATAGAGTGAATCATGGTTGCCAGGGACCGGGAGCCAAGGGAAATAGAGAGATGTTGGTCACAGGGTACAAACTGCCAGCTCTAAGATTAACAAGTTCTGGAGATCTACTGTATAGCATTGTGAGTATAGTCTAATATTGTCAAATACTGTGTTATATAATTGAAATTTGCTAAGAGAATGGATTTTAAATGTTTTCACTACAAAAAAAGAAAGGGCAATTATATGAAGTTATGGAGCTATTTACTAACTCTGTTGTAATAATTTCACAATATATCCATATATCAAATTATCACATTGTACACCTTAAACTTACACAAAGTTATATGTCCATTTTTATCTCAATAAAGCCTGAAGAAAAGTACAAATAAAGGTGACTTATTACATTAATCTATGCTCAGGAGCTTAGACATAGCTTGGTGATGTTAATCAGATGTGTCTTTGCTGTTTATGTATTTATTTTTGTGAGAGAGAGAGTGTGAGTGCTCGCATGTGCACAAGCAGGGGAGGGACAGAGAGAGAGGGAGATACAGAATCTGAAGCAGGCTCCAGGCTCTGAGCTGTCAGCACAGAGCCTGATATGGGACTTGAACCCACAGACTGTGAGATCATGACCTGAGCCAAAGTCGGATGCTTAACTGACTGAGCCACCCAGGCGCTCCAAGGTTGTTATTTCATCATTATTTGCTAGGGAAATATGATGTAGAAAAAAGTACAGATATTGTTTTGAGATGTCTTTAACAGTCCTTAAATTTAGTGAGAAACAAGTACACAATAAATTCAATCTGTAAGATAAGCGACTTACTGGCAAGTTAGCTGGTTAAAAAAATTTTTTTTAAAGTTTATTTATTTTTGAGAGAGAGAAGGAGAGAGAGTGTGATCAGGGGAGGGACAGAGAGAGGATCCCAAGCAGGTTCCACACTGTCAGCAAGGAGCTCGACGTGGGGCTCCATCCTATGAACGGTGAGATCGTGACCTGAGCTGAAATCAAGAGTCGGACGCTTAACCCACTGAGCCACCCAGGTGCCCCAAGTTAGCTGCTTTTTGCCAAGAGTATGCTTCACATTTGGTGGTTGAAGGTCAGACTGGAATTATTCAGGGGGAAACTCTAAGGGGCTGATTCTGAGATATTTTCTTGGCAGGAGGAGTATCTTTGAGTCATTGGCAGGTTGCCACAACCTATATTTAGTTGCATGGGACTTCTGCAAAAATAATATTCAGCAATAGGGGGACTGGAGACACACAGTTTTTCCATTTCTCACCAGCCACCACATAAACTCCATCTTTTTAAAATCCAAATCCTTAATATTTTTATAGGTTCCAAGGAATCAAAATTTTTGATTCGAAAGAGATTTAATGACAGTTTTATAGAAAACATCCATAACATCTTTGAAAGATAGTTATCCAATATCTGCTTCAGTAGCTCACTCTTTGAAAGATAACCTTTTATGTATGTATGTATGTATGTATTTGCAAGAAGTAGCAGTTTATTTTTATATATGTATTTATTTTTTAAAATATAATTTCTTGTCAAGTTAGCTAACATACAGTGTATACAGTGTGCTCTTGACTTTGAGAGTAGATTCCCATGATTCCTTGCTTACATACAGCACCCAGTGCTCATCCCAACAAGTGCCCTCCTCAATGCCCATCACCCATTTTCCCCTCTCCTCCGCACCTTCCCCCCCCCATCAGCCCTCAGTTTGTTCTCTGTATTTAAGAGTCTCTTATGGTTTGTTTGCCTCCCTCCCTGTTTGAAACTATTTTTTTCCCTTTACCTTCCCTCATGGTCCTCTGTTAAGTCTCAAATTCCACATATGAGTGAAAACATATGATATCTGTCTTTCTCTGACTTATTTCACTTAGCATAATGCCCTCGAGTTCCATCCGCGTTGTTGCAAATAGCAAGATTTCATTTTTTCTCATTGCCAAGTAGTATTCCATTATATATATAAACCACATTTTCATTATCCATTCATCAGTTGATGGACATTTGGGCTCTTTCCATAATTTGGCTATCGTTGATAGCACTGCTGTAAACATTGGGGTACATGTGCCCCTATGAATCAGCACTCCTGTATCCTTTGGATAATTTCCCAGTAGTGCTATTGCTGGGTCGTAGGGTAGTTCTATTTTTAATTTTTTGCAGAGCCTCCACACTTTTCTGGCTGCACCAGTTTGCATTCCCACCAACAGTGCAAGAGGGTTCCCTTTTCTCCACATCCTCGCCAGCATCTGTTGTTTCCTGAGCTGTTAATTTTAGCCGCTCTGACGGGTGTGAGGTGATATCTTAATGTGGTTTTGACTTATATTTCCCTGATGGTGAGTGATGTTGAGCGTCTTTTCATGTGTCTATTTGTCATCTGGATATCTCCTTTGGATAAGTGTCTATTCATGTCTTCTGCCCATTTCTTCACTGGATTACTTGTTTTTCGGGTGTTGAGTTTGGTAAGTTCTGTATAGATTTTGAATACTAACCCTTTATCTGATATGCCATTTGCAAATATCTTCTCTCATTCCTTTAGTTGCTCTTTAGTTTTGTTGATTGTTCCCTTTGCAGTGCAGAAGATTTTTATCTTGATGAGGTCCCAATAATTTATTTTTGCTTTTTTTTCCCTTTGCCTTCAGAGATGTGTGGAGTAAGAAGTTGCTGTGGCTGAGGTCAAAGAGGTTGTTGCCTGTTTTCTCCTCTAGAGTTTTGATGGTTTCCTGTCTCACATTTAGGTCTTTTATCCATTTTGAGTTTATTTTTGTGTATGGTGTAAGAAAATGGTCCAGTTTCATTCTTTTGCATGTTGCTGTCCAGTTCTCCCAGCACCATTTGCTAAAGAGACTGTCTTTTTTCTGTTGGATACTCTTTCCTGCTCTGTCAAAGATGAGTTGGCCTTACATTCGTGGGTACAATTCTGGGTTATCTATTCTATTCCATTGGTCTATGTCTGTTTTTGTGCCAATACCATACTGTCTTGATGATTGTAGCTTTGTAGTAGAGACTAAAGTCCGGGATTGTGATGCCTCCTGCTTTGGTTTTCTTTTTCAGCATTACTTTGGCTATTCAGGGTCTTTTGTGGTTCCATACAAATTTTAGGATTGTTTGTTCTAGCTCTGAGAAGAATGCTGGGGCAATTTTGATTGGGATTGCATTGAATGTGTAGATTGCTTTGGGTAGTATTGACATTTTAACAATATTTGTTCTTCCAATCCATGAGCATGGAATGTTTTTCCATTTCTGTGTGTCTTCCTCAATTTCTTTTGTGACTTTTCTATAGTTTTCAGCATACAGATATTTTACATCTTTGGTTAGGTTTATTCCTAGGTATTTTATGGTTCTGGTGCAATTGTGAATGGGACCAACTTCTTGATTTCTCTTTCTGTTGCTTCGTTATTGGTGTATAGAAATGCAACTGATTTCTGTACATTGATTTTGTATCCTGTGACTTTGCTGAATTCATGTATCAGTTCCAGCAGTTTTTTGGTGGAGTCTTTTGGGTTTTCCATGTAAAGTGTCATGCCATCTGTAAAAAGTGAAAGTTTGACTTCTTTTTTGCCAATTTGGATGACATTTTGTTTTCTGATTGTTGAGGCTAGGACTTCCAACACTATGTTAAACAACAATGGTGAGAGTGGACATCCCTGTCGTGTTCCCGATCTTAGGGGGAAAGCTCTCAGTTTTTCCCCATTGAGGATGATATTAGCGGCGGGCTTTTCGTATATGGCTTTTCTGATGTTAAGGTATGTTCCTTCTATCCTGACTTTCTTGAGGGTTTTTATTAAGAAAGGATGCGTTTTGTCAAATGCTTTCTCTGCATCTATTGACAGGATCATATGGTTCTTATCCTTTTTTCTACTAATGTGATGTATTGATTGAAAGTGTTGAACCAGCCCTGCAGCCCAAGAATGAATTCCACCTGATCATGGTGAATAATTCTTTTATTTTTATTTTTTTTTTTCAACGTTTATTTATTTTTGGGACAGAGAGAGACAGAGCATGAACGGGGGAGGGGCAGAGAGAGAGGGAGACACAGAATCGGAAACAGGCTCCAGGCTCTGAGCCATCAGCCCAGAGCCCGACGCGGGACTCGAACTCACGGACCGCGAGATCGTGACCTGGCTGAAGTCGGACGCTTAACCGACTGCGCCACCCAGGCGCCCCTGAATAATTCTTTTAATATACTGTTGAATTTGATTTGCTAGTATCTTGTTGAGAATTTTTGGTTCCGTGTTCATCAGGAATATTGGCCTGTAATTCTCCTTTTTAGTGGGTT